GTGACTAGTCGACTATCAAAATAATCGTTTGTGGCAGCCCTAATTACATAGTAATAAAATAAAAGAATACCATTTATAAATACTGTCATAGAAATATATTTATTTATGGTAAGTGATTTTTATTTTTTATTATTTCTTTTTCATCTTCTTTTCCCCACTGCTGATTCTGTTAATATAATATAATGATATTGGGACTGTACTTACATAGTAAGTTATTTATTTGCTCAGGTTAGGTGAACAAAGCAGGAAAACATACTAAATGTGCAGAACTGAATATGTTTGTACCTTTTTATATTAATTATAACAAAAAAGTAATTATTTCCTTATTAATAGAATGAGATGAATTGATACATTTTGCATTTACAAAGTCATTCTTTGAAAAAGATGCAGTCTTATGTAATATTGTGGTATTGCTTGCCTCAAAATAGTCCATGCCCATTTCAAGCAAATACCTATTTAAACAGAGCCACAAGCAGTGCCTTGAGCTCTAACAGAGACTCTGTACTTGAGCATGTTCAGCAATACTACTGTAGTATAATGAAACACCAGCCTTACTCACAGGTCTTGAAAGAGTGATACTATTAGCACAAGTTTTTCCTTCCTTCCTGAGAGATTTACAGATTCACAGTCACTTGAAGATGACTCTTGCCCAGCATCGAGCCAGGCACTTGTGTGATATCTCTATGTCAGAAATAGTTTTCATGAGTGTTCAGCTGATCCAATGTGCTGCAGCAAGAGTACTAACAGAGACTAGAAAGACAGATCATATTTCTTCCATATTAACGTCTCTTTATTGGCTCCTGTTAAATAATGAATTCGGTCTATAATCCTTCTCTTCATATACAAAGTCCTGAATGATCAGTCCCTCCCTTATTTAAAGATACCACTAATAGTACCAATTTATCTTAATAGAGCACTTTGCTCTCAGAGTGCAGACTTGTTGTTCCTAGGCTTCTTGTCTTTTCACTACTCATGTGTTAATAAGCCACCATTGCACATCATGACTTTTTGTCTACTCTCTTTTGTAGTTGTTCTGTTTGTTCTTTGTGGCCAAAATCCACCCTGTTTGGCCTGGAGCTTTTAATCATGAAGCCATGTTGACTTACAGTCCTTTGTGTTTTGTCTGGAATAATACCTCAGTCTTCAGGTTGGAAACCTCTGATTTAGGCCATGGTTTACATTTCAGTCATAAAACGGGATTCTTTGCTTCCAGTGTTGACATTTCCCACCACTGATCGTCTTATCGTCAGAGTAGACTTCAGTGAAGGTAAAGTGTCGCTAAGCTGCCACTAAGAGCCCCACAGTGCTGTGCTAAAAAGCTGGTCTGAAACTGTTCACCTCAACCAACAGTACAACACACACCTACAAGATAAGTAAATATTGAGACTCAGGCACCCATGGTTTATCATCCATTGCCCGATTTTTTAACAGACTGTGTGCACTGGCGTGAATGTGAATGTAATGAAGCATGCTTTAGTCAATATTAAGCGCTGTCATGTTGACCACTTCTGTTTAAGTAGACAGGTGGAAACAGCAGATTTGCTTCTCTGCTTGTTCTCGTCTCTGAAACAATTTTTGTATAGAAATTGAAAAACACAAGATGAACATGAACCTCTTTAGCTTTATTTTTTTTCTGCTTCTTCCCTAAGAGCTCACAGAAAACTTAAAAAATGTTATAGTGCTCTATCAGGTTGTTTTTGAATCTTTGTTTGGACTGCATCCTGTTTTTCTGTAGCTAAGGCTTACCATCT